CCCTGAGGCTGCACAAGAACGACTCTTTCGTTAAAAACCTTAGGCGTGAGCATCACGAGCTAGGCGACAGATTAAAACGTATAATTAGCGAAAGTTTCTTCCCTCCGTTACAGAATTATCTATACGTGTATATCTAGAAACACTGCAGTTCTCGAGTGTCTTCTCCGATCGCGCGAGGCCGAATGAAAGAAAAAAATATACGCTCCGCGTGTGTGTATGGAAACGTCGAATGGTACAAGCCCATTTAACGAATCGCGAGTATTTTTAGGCGGGTTTTCAATGAATTTACTTATGTATATATATATATCCTCGAACTCGTGTATATTACCCTCGAGTAAAAAGTATCTCTAATGAACAACGATTATCATCTTTGGTCTCTATCGAAAATCACGTGGTCTCAGGACTCGTACCAGAGGACTTCCAGTTCTCTTTTGGTTCGCGCGCTGCGAATCGACGCTACACGACACGTTTATATGCACAAAGGGCTGCGCTAGAGAGACAGTTTAACGTTCAGAAGAAAACGGTGCTAGTGCACAGTACAGCTCGCGTTAAGCACGGCGGATTAATGAGTTTACAACGTATCGTTCTCTCTCTCTCTCGATCTCATCTTCTCCAGATAGAAGCCTTATCACATCAATGTACAACGACGACACTGGAAGAAACTACGCTCGTTCACACAATTTTACTCGGAGTCCACGAGCCTAGTCTTCTCCTTTCTCGATTCATATTCCCCCTTTTTTTTTACCCCCTTTGGATCGTTCAACCTTTTTTTTTTTTCTTTGTCTAATTTCTAATCAGCGAATGTAAAATTGGCCCGATTAACTCGCTTAGCGTCGTGAATTTCACGCTCGAACCATTTTCATCCCCGAAAATTCATCCACTCTAAACCCCACCATTCTCGATGACACACGCTTTACATGTTCCTCGTTGTACCTAGCACAGTACAGTATTACAGCTGACACGAGTATGTTTGCTTCGGTTCTAAATAAAGGTTGGCGTGCTCAGAAGCGTTCAGTCTCCTCGACACTCGTCGCGATGCACGAGACACGTTCATGAATTGACGCACGCAAATCTTTCACGCTGGTTCCCGTGTTTTTGTCCTGTGTACGCGTGTGTGTATATGTTCTCCCGTGTCTGTGTGTGAGTATTATCTACAGAAAGAAGACGCAGCTATGAATTTTTCCTTCCTCTATGTCGAGATATCGTCAAACAATAGATTGATACTTGCTAAGAAAAAACAATGAACGACACGCCATTCGATTTACGTCATTATCAGTGACGTTGTAATGAAATTTTTCTTTTTTTCGTAAATATCAAGCGTTTTCAGTCGTACACGTTTACGTGTAATAATTCGGATAGAAAGAATAGTAAAAAAAATGGCGCGTAATATTGAGCACATTCTCTTGTTTCTCTATTCACACGAACGGCGCGTCTTCTTCCTCAATTTATGAACGGATCGCGTATCGAGTCGCTCGCTTATTTTATCAAGAGATATCGAAAAAACGTCTATAAAGATTGTTTAATTACGATTACAATATTATAAACCTCGAACAATTCGCCGTCGAACAGACTCGCCGATAATAACGTGTACACCTACGGTCGTGTGTGTTTACAATTTCTCTTCTCTGTTTCGCATCGCAGACTGAAATATAGGTCGCTCGAATTCACTCGACTACCTGTGCTGGGCTAATAAAACGATTTTCTTTTGTATGTTCCCTTTTTATTTTTCTCCTTCTTTACTTTCAGTCGTTTTCGGTTTAATTAAAGTCTAGAACATCTCTAGAAGACTCTCTCGTCCTTGTGCGTGTCGGGTAGATTTAATTCGTTTACTTCGAAATCGCGGTCGAAAAGAAAAAAAAGAGAACAGAAGAGAAACGATGATAGGATGAACGCTTTTTCACAACAAACAATTACCGCCTCGAGTTTCGCTTCAATACTACGAAAATCGAGTGTTCTTCCAAGAGACCACGCTGAATAGCGAAACACAAATAGCACAATTCCTTCGAACTAATTATCTCAACGATAATTTCGCAACATCAAAAATCGTGATATGTACAACGTCACAAAAAGCTTATATTGCGTATATTGCTTCGGTCGCCTAACCACGCGTTCACAAAAGGTGTGTCCCAAAAAAAAAAAAACGTGCACGGAAGAGCCACCCTATCATCGTGACGTAATCATCTTCACATCGATGCAATAGTAACCCCGTTTTTTTTTTTTCTTTCCTTTCTCGGACAACGTCAGTTTCCGGTGTGTCGCACGTGTGGAATTGTATACAATAATACAGAAGATCGCTAGTTTCTCGTCGAAGAGTGCCCGGCGGATACAACGAACGTAACAACGCGCACTATAAACCGCACGAAGCTGTCCTCGGGCTGTGTTTCAAACACGAATCATAGCAAAAAAAAAAAAAGAACGAACATCACGCTATTTTATTTATCCCTTATCGAAACGACTTATTCGAAATAATTTAGGGGGTGGCGGCGGAGGGGCGTTAGAAGTAATCGGTAAGAACGGTGTACGTTGTGTATGTTATGTATGCGAGTGTATATGTGTTGAATGAAACGTTTTTTTGTTCTTTTTTCTTTATTTGTGCCTTCGTCGCGCGTTAACTTATGGGCCACGATGTAGACATCAGAAGAAGCCAGCATCTTGTTTAATAAGTACGTGTGATGATTTTTGCTTTTTCTTTTCTTTCTTTCTTTTTTTCTTTTTTCTTTCGTTTCTCATTGTTTTGGTTCGTAATCAGAATGTCTCAAGGAGTTAGCATTAATTAGCTGCACACTGATAAACCACCTCCCTAGCAAATGCAGCCGCTCTCTCCCTCCGACTCGGAGCCGTTCTGCATTGGTGATTGGTTCTGCAAATCGACAGCTGCTTTCGTGTGTTAAGGCGTTATCACAGTAACCATTTTCTTTCTTTCTTTGTTTCTCTTTTAGATTTGAAAATTTCAAACGTAATGGGAACTCGCGTGTGTACATACACATTCAGCTATTAGTTCATTCAAGTAAAAGAATCTCTGCACGTCGATCGATATCGATCATCGATCGGTTAGTTATAATTCTTACAAGGTACGTAATGTGTATAAGCATATGCTAAAAAGAACGGATAGGCCATTGAAATATGTAATTTAATCAGATTTGAGCGATTCCCTGCGTTTTAGGCCAGCATAGTGTATAATTCCGACGATCAAACGATTTGTAATAAAAGAGCTCTGAAGAGTATACGAATTTGAATTGTTAGATTTAGTCCCATGAAAGTTTTTTACGTGTGTATATATTATTGTATTTTCTCCTGCTTTTTTCTTTTTATTTTCTCTCTCGAAAGCTAGTATTACAGTTTGGAATTAAAAAGCGTATAAAATTTAAATAGTTTCAAAAACGGGACGGAGCATTCCCTAATATTAATTACAGTGAACATTGTACAGCCACAAAGCACCTTAATTAAAGAATTACACACGAGTGCTGTTTGTCACATTTCCACGTTATGATACAAAGCATTGTATGTATATATATATATATTTATATATGTATATGAATGTATATATACGCGCGGGAGCATGGATTTTATATGAATGCATGTATGCCTGTATAGAGCGTGTACATACTTTTTGCACTCCTTTCTAAGCACAACAAATATTACAATATATTTTATTAATGTAGCATTCTATCTATCCATATCCCAAAAATTTTAAGTTAATATATACAAATTCGATTTTTTCAATGTTTCCTTTTCTGCTAATTATTTGCTCTATCTAAATGTTTCACGATTCCTTTGTTTTCTTTTCTTTTTTTTTTTCTTTATAAACGAATCACTTAATACAAAATGAATAAATAATACTTCGTTAGGAAATGCAATATGGTAATTTATGTAGTGGTCGTTCCAAAACAGTGAAAACCATTATGCGTGAGC